TCCGCTTCTGTCTTTCCCTCTTCCTCTCTCTTCCCACTCCTCTTCCTCCTCTCCTTTCCTCTCAGCCCTCCTTCTTCGCCGGTCTCCTGCTGCCTGCTTCTGTTTCTGCTGCGGAGCGTCAAAGCTCAAATTTGACCTGAAGAAAGCAAGAAACTATTTTTTTATTTTTTTATTAAATACCCACATAACAGCTTAACTTAATCTCAGAAATGTGATTAAACAGTCATTTAATTCTTCAATCATCCAAAGTTTACATTTTTAAGGCCAACTAGGTCTTAAAATTTGCCTGCACCCACCTTGCCTTGTCCTCCCCGGAGCTCCGGGCTCTGCTGCCCGCGGGTCTCTCTTCGATATCCCGCGGCTCTGCTCTCCTCTCCCCGCTCTCGCTTCGGTCAGGTTGTCTCCTCCTCTTTGCTGTTTCCGTCTGCATATCTGAGTTCAGTGAACCTGGAATTGCATTTAAATGTCTGTTACTGTCACGCCTGAAGTTGTCCGATTTCCTCTTTGTGACCCCGGAGACTCTTTTGGTTGCTCAGACGCTGCTGTTGCCCTGCCAGCAGACGCACACGAAATTACAGCGAGCTCTGTTTACAAACCGTCTAAGTTAATTATTGCCAACAAATAATAAAGCTTATACAAGTTCTACAAAAACAGTTACGACTAGTGATGAACAAACGGACCAGGTGATCAATTCGGCATCAGTAACAGAGCCCCCCAAAAAACGTATTTCAGCAAGATTTCTACTTTATAACTTAAATCTCTACGTATATCCTCAAGCGCTATAAATACTTGTCAGGTGTTTCCTGTTGGGATTTTTGTCATTTTACACAAGTCTTTGTTGGCTTAAATGTGTACCGAATTATTTAAAATACTGTCTTCATCCTAACCAAACTGTTGAGTTTTCACTTACCTCTCTGACACTTGCTATCTATCGAGTCAGCGACGAACTCCATTATTTTGTGAATGAAGCTTTGTTCTCGTACGATAAACAGTCCCGAAAAATACTCTTACTTAATAAATAACCAACATTGGAGGGGTTTTTAAGCTTCAAACCCGTGTTTAATCATTATGCGACGCTCAGTGTCATCTTATCTAAGCACACATTTAGAAAGAAAACGTTTAAAACACTGTTATTAACACTTACTGTCGCACTAAAACCCAAGCCGTTTGAATCTGACGCCATCTTTAGCGTCAGTACGTCGCTTCCGGATCAGCGCTGGATTGGCTGGTTAAAGTTTTTTATTTA